GGTCAGACCAACATAACAGTCAGAAGATTCTCCCCCACTGCTAGGGTTTACAAAATAATTTGAGTTTCAAACGTCCATGTATTAGAGTCTTGGTCTCCAGAGTCTTATATTAATGGACTAAGCAGGTACTTAATTGAACTATGGTATCTGGAAGTGGTGCATTTAGGAAGTGACTGGATTGGATGAGCTGGCTAGGGTGGGCCCCCATGATCAAATCATGATGGCTGTATAGGGAGAGGCCACGTAGAAGGCAGAGGAAGAGTGTGTTACCTATGTTGTGCTGCTTCTTGGCTCACCATGTGATCATCTCTCTGTCACCTTCTGACATTACCAGATGTGTAACCAGTGGGATTTCTTAGTGAATCTCTGAACTGTAATCTAAAATAAATCTTCCTTCCTTTCTTCCTAAGAATCACTCTGTAGGTATTTAAAGTATTGAAAAGCTGAATGGAACACCTACTTATTTTGACACTCTTCTGTTTATTCCTCATGAATACTTAGCAAATCTTTTATACTTCCAATCCTGACTTTCTGTCAGCTTCCTAGAAGACCTAGACTTACAAAATTACTCAGCAATGAAAAGAAATGAGAAATGTCACAGACAAATCTCAAAAATATTATCCAGATTCAAAATAGTCCAACCTCAAAGGGATAAATATGATATTACTTTACATGAAGTCCTAGAGCAGGTAAAACTAGTCTATTATCAGAAATAATCAGAACAATGGCTGTTTCCAGATGTTACAAATAGGCACTGCCTGGGAAGATACATGACCAGATTTTCTGTGGTGATGACAATGTTTTACATTTTGATAGGGGTTTGATTTATATAAAAAAAAAACTCACCTAATGGAATGCATCACTCCATCTTAGTCAAAGGCCAACAAGTGATCATGGTAGGCTTAAGCTCTGTGTATTTCATCATTTGAAAACTTTACCATGAAACAAGAACTGCAAAAAATATTGAAATTTACTTATATGCTTGTTGAAGTTTCTAGACAGAAATATACCAATTCTGCAACTTACTGTGAGATTCATCAGATAAAAGCAAGATGGTTTGATAGATGAATAGGAAAATGAGTAGACACACAGATATGTCATTATGAAAGTGTAGTAAGGGCAGGTGTTTAGCCTAGCAGTTAAGATTCCCACTTCCAACTTCAGAACGCCCGGGATGGGTTCTCATTTTCCAGCTCCGGACTCCAATTCTTGCTAATGTAGACCCTGGGAGGCAGTGGTGAAAGCTCAAGCAGTCGACTCCCTGCTAGCTACCTGGGAGACTTGGCTTGCATTCCCATCTTGGATATGATCCCGTCCCACTCATTATGGACATGTGGGGAGTGATCCAGCAAATGTTAGTTCAGTCTCTGTCTCTTTCAGCCAGAATGGGGCTGGGCTGAAGGTGGGAGCCACTCAGTTCAGGTCTCCCACAACAGTAGCAGGGACTCAACTACTAGAGCTACAATCTGCTGCTTCCCATAGTTTGCATTGGCAGGAAGCTGCAGTGAGGAGCCAGAATCAGGAATCGGACTTAGATACCCTGATACAATAGACGGACTTCTTAACCACTAGCCCAATTGCCCTACTCAGAATACTCAGTTTTAATGTGAAAAGAAACACGAGGATAGCAGCCATGTAGTAAGCATAGAAAAAAAAATTTCAGGAAAACAGGAAACTCTAAAAGGGATGCTTAGAGAACTCAAGAACAAACGTTTCTTAGGAGTAGAAAATAAAAAAAGAGATTGGTCAATTATCTGCTGCCTTTTACTTATTACTGTATTTCATGCAGTTTCACAGATCAGTGGAAGAATTTGGTGACTATTAGTAACAAGTATATATAAAATAAGCAAATGTGTAAAAAGAATTCCTTATAAACTCCAAGAAAAACAAAAAGCTTTATAACAAGTAGAATTTCACTACATGATAAGCTCAGCTGTTGACAATATTAATGTAGTCACAGGAATGTAGACACTCAATATTGATTTAACCAAAAATGATGCTATATTCACACTGAACGTGATGAAAGATGGGAATTATGTCCACTGGTGGTGAGTGGTGATAAAAAACTAAATAGTTATGTTCCATAGTTGGACATCAGTAGATAATGTCTAAAATAAAGAAAGCAGAAAAAAAATCAAGGGGAAAAAAAAAGAAACAAACAGAAAAAAAACCAGGTTATTTAGATACATAGCATAAGAAAGGGCTAAGAATTAAAAGCCATCATTCTTGAGAGAAGAAACTGAGCAAGTTGGTGTACAAGCAGGGGCTACTGTTTGTCATAGCCTTGTTGTTTCTCTTGGCTTCTGAAAGTATGTACATACATTTACATTGATAAACATAATAATTTAAATTATTTGACTATTTAGTACAAGTGCAGGTTTGGTGAGAATTTATTTTCCCAGACTGTATCTACTGAAATACTAGATAGTCCTTGATATATCAAAAAGAAATGAGGCTGGCAGTGTGGTGCAGTGGGTTAATGCCCTGGCCTGAAGTGCTGCCACCCCATATGGGAAATGGTTCGAGACCCAGCTACTCCACTTACTGTCCAGCTCTCTGCTATGGCCTGGGAGAGCAGTGGAGGATGGCCCAAGTCCTTGGGCCCCTGCACCCACATGGGAGACTTGGAGGAAGCTCCTGGCTCCTGGCTTCGGATCAACATAGCTCCAGCCGTTGCGGCCAATTGGAGAGTAAACCAGCTGATGGAGGACCTCTCTCTCTTTCTCTCTCTGCCTCTCTCCTATCTGTGTGACTCTGACTTTTAAATAAATAAATAAACCTTTAAAAAAATAAATAAATAAAAATAAAAAAGGAATGAATGCAAAGACTTTAGGGAGTGAGAAAAACATAGTGGATTTACCACATGCAAATTGTCTATACCACCATCTATGTTCCATGGTGAGGGTGGGGAACAAGAATCCACTTTCTTCACCAAGGTCTGTGATATATGGCACTGAGAACAACACAGTACTTTTGAAAAATACTTTTATGATTGTTCACTTGTGATACTAGATGGAATTCCCAATGGATGGGCTTCTCTGGTTTCACTAAAATGCCCACGATGGGGCATTTAATCCACGGAAGATGAGACATAGTTACCACTGTAAAAAGAATGCTCTAACTTAGTATTTCTGACAATAGTTCATCCACCATGTTGCCTATGAGTTTGAAATAGAATAACCCCTTAAAGTCTTCCTTTTATAAGTGAAAAAAAAAAAACAAAAAACAGGATATAGTAAAGTATACCACCAAAATAGAAATTAAATTCTTGGTCTCTCACCCAATTCCTAGAAAAAGGTCATTTTACAAGAACCTCGGGTGATTGCAGATGCCATAAACAAGAGTGTCAATTGTTAAAACAACAACAGGAGTCACTGTGCACTTACTCCCCATGTAGGATCTCTGTCCTTAATGTATTGTACTATGTGAATTAACAGTATAACTAGTACTCAAACAGTGCTTTATACTTTGTAGGGAAAAAAAAAAAAAGGTCATTTTAAAAGATCTACGAGGTTCCTTTCATGAAGAAGTTCCTGGGGCCGGTGCTGTGGCGCAGCGCATTAACACCCTGGCCAGGTGCCGGCATCCCATATAGGTGCCGGTTCTAGTCCCGGCTGCTCCTCTTCCAATCCAGCTCTCTGCTATGGCCTGGGAAAGCAGTAGAAGATGGCCCAAGAGCTCGGGCTCCTGCACCCTCGTGGGAGACCTGGAAGAAGTTCCTGGCTTCTGGCTTTGGATTGGTGCAGCTCCGGCCGTTGCGGCCAATTGGGGGAGTGAACCATCAGATGGAAGACTTCTCTCTCTCTCTCTCTGTCTCTCTCTCTCTCTCTCTCTCTCTCTGCCTCTCCTCTCCGTGCGTAACTCTGACTCTGAAATAAAAAAATAAATCTTTAAAAAAATTAAAAAATAAAGATAATGAAGAAGTTCCCAATGATCATGAAGTCTCAACTAAAGTAGAAAAGGGATGCAGGGATGCACTGCATAGAAATAAGAGCCTGTAGGCCGGCGCCGCGGCTCACTAGGCTAATCCTCCGCCTTGCGGCGCCGGCACACCAGGTTCTAGTCCCGGTTGGGGCGCCGGATTCTGTCCCGGTTGCCCCTCTTCCAGGCCAGCTCTCTGCTGTGGCCAGGGAGTGCAGTGGAGGATGGCCCAGGTGCTTGGGCCCTGCACCCCATGGGAGACCAGGAAAAGCACCTGGCTCCTGGCTCCTGCCATCGGATCAGCGCAGCGCGCCGGCCGCGGCGGCCATTGGAGGGTGAACCAACGGCAAAGGAAGACCTTTCTCTCTGTCTCTCTCTCTCACTGTCCACTCTGCCTGTCAAAAAATTAGAAAAAAAAAAAAAAAAGAAAAAGAAATAAGAGCCTGTAATCTGGAGTCAGGCTACTTGGGTTCAATTTCTGGATCTGCCACTTATTATCTGTGTGATTTTGGCATTTACCAAGTTAAATATGCAAAATATGTGTAATAAAGAAATGAATACTCAAATATTTGGAGAAATATATGACACTGTCTGAGAACCAACACTATTTCCTGAGAACACAGGATTCTAGTCCTATCCAGCATTCTCATAAAACAAAACCTAACAGGTATTTTGACCACCTAAATATAAGCTTGAGTCACATCATCCTACAAAACATTGCTTCCAAGAAAGACACTTAATTTATATTAGGAATGACAACTGGATATAGTGGTTTCATTGTTATACCCGTCATTTAGAGGCAAATGGTTTTACAAAGAAGTAAAATGGGGTAATGCAGATGGATTTAAGTCATCGTGTGTAATAATCACCTTGAAAGTTCAGGGTATTTTTCTTTAGATTTAGTTAGCTGTCCTAACTAGCAAGCAGTAACTGATTCTGTTTTTTCCCAAAACTAAATTGCACTTGTTGAGGAACCAAAGACTCAGAGATAGAACATAGAAATACGGTGCTATTCACCAAATTATATATGATGCCGCTACCAAATTACTAACCACACCTTGCAAAATTTTTCCTTGCAGTTCATCATCTCCAGGCTCTACTGGTGTGAAGATTATAGAAAAAAAGAGGAATGCTTTTACCATTTAATGGAGCTGCGACTTCCACTGGGCCATTTCATACTCTTTATGCCACTTGAAGACCAGGGGGCAGGGGTGTATGTTTTAGCCTGGTTTGATGGATACTAATTCTCAAGGAAAAACAGGATTGCAGCTATACAATGGGGGGAGGGGGGAGAATAAACAGAACACCTTCTCATATTACCATGCCCAGGGCTAAAAGTTAATCAAGGACTGGCAATCTATTCAGGCAGAACCACCAAAAGCTTAGATCCCTCAGGAATGAAGGCTTGTGTGACCCCACTGGGTAAAGAATCCCAGCCAGCTGAGGTGCTAGCAGAGGGCAAAGCAAACAGAAATGTCTGGTGGAGGAAGAAAGTCATAAATACCAGCAACAGCCTCATGGCCATTTGTAGAAACAAAGACTACAGCCTCTACCTACTTCTTCCTTGCTGTGTCATGACTATATCTGCACATTTTGATTAAACTCCCTCTTGTTTCGGAAGTTGTTGGTAGTAATTAATGATATAATGAATGTCACCAGTGACTAAATAAGTGGGATTGTGTAGAACTAAAGCAAATGGATATTCCCTGGAGATTTTGGACTTGCATCTGGACTCACTTTGGATTTTGTCACTTAAGGGAGGGAAGGAGCATACTGTAAGTTGTATGATGATCATTATATCACCATAGGTGATGAAACTTTTGAATATAAGTACAAGTCTACTTTAGGACATTCAAGGAAAATGGAATTAAAAGACAACCTTATTTTGGTGAAAAAGTTTTTGAAAGCCACGTGCAGTATTCTTCACAATAGATGGTTTACATGAACTGTTCGAAGAACTCTCATTTGTGTAGGAAGACTAATACACATAGCCAAAAGAGTAAACTGGAGTGAGCATGAGTCATTTGTCGACTGCATTAACCCCTTCCTACTGGGTAGAAAGCACCACTTTGTGGGAGCCTTGGCAAGAAACTCAGCTCACATCTGCATCGGAAGGCAAAAGCAGGCCCAAGAATGCCCTTATCTTGCCCCAGGGACAGGTGCCACATCTCAACCGCTGGGTTCTTTGACCCAGCTTTTGTACCTTCAGCAAGTGACATAGGCATGAAGGCACAGTTACGTTGCTGTGTTCAGTAGCAAATATGGATATTGAGAGTGAGTGACCATGACCGTATTGTTCCAGCACTCTCCTCAGGGGAGTTAGGGCCAGTGGTGGCTCACAAACCACTGAGATGTAACTGTGCCTCTGTTCCCACTCCCTGGCCTCCCTTATTTCCTACCTTATATCACTCCAATAAATTCCTACACCCTCAATTAGTTTTTCAATGCTTGCAATGAAGAACCAAGTGAGACAAAACTGTTTTCACTATTTTAGAAGAAAGACAGCCACTTTGTGGGGGTCCATCGGAAAACAGGAAGGAAACAAGACATGAGCGTTGTTAAAGGAGGCCCTTTCTGCCTGAAGCCAGAAGCTAAACATATCAGGAAGTCAGATAATAATGAGCCAAAGTCTCAGCCCCAACCTATCACACCTAAGAGAAAAGAGACAGAGAAAAAACATTGCAGGATTTATGATTGAGACCTGGAAAAGACTGGTCCCAAGCCTCCTCACACCAACTCTAGTGCACTCGTTTGACAAAGGTGTTTCTTACAAACCCACAAGCTGTGGGTGTAGTTTCAGGGGTTCAGGAGCCCCTGAAGACTTTTCCTGCCCTACCTGCCCCCAAAACAAACTAATTCATTCATTAGATCGTAACTAAGTACAGGGACACAGCCACCAATGGAATCCCCATATTAGATATGACTGATTCAGCTACTAATTAATTTTTGAAAAGAGGGCAAAATTAAGCATAATGTTTAGCAAGACAAAGGTGAAAAAAACCTACAAGTACATTTTTATGATTCAAGGCTCAAACTCAAGAATTGCACCAAATTTCCACCTAAGTATCTTTTCTGTAGAATTCAGTAACTCCTCATAAAAGAGAGTTTTGCTACAGAGTGTATTAACTCCTCTTCATTTAGTCAATTTTAAAATATCCTTTTTGCCTGTCCAACATCCAAATGAAGCCTTTGTCTTTTCCTCTTCCAGTTTCTGTTGTTCCAAATGGATGAGTGCCCAGCCCCGCTGAAGGGAGAATTTCTCCCCAGGAGTCAATGACTTCCTTAGAGGCTGATAATTCAAGTTTCCTCTGTCAATCTAAATCTAGCACCGGAAATAAAGCTTTGTTCTTGGCCAGCTATCCCATGTGAGCCAGGTTCAAATGAATTCAAGTGAAGGTGCAGTGCTAAGTCAGGGCCCCAGGACGTGTCAGAGCAGCATCTACCTCAGACATAGCTCCAGCCTCCTGCCTCTGCTCCCTCTTTCAGCAGCAAGCAGCTGGAAGGGACCTTGAAAAGTGCAGAGAAAATGTACATTGTATTTTAATTCCACTTTTTCACAACCTTTAAAAATTCTTATTTTTATGTATATGAGACACACAAAAGGAAAAGAGGGAGAGGGAGAGAGGGAAAGGGAGAGAGAAAGGGGGAAAGGGAGAGAGAAAAACAAATTGCCATCCCCTGCTTCATTCCCCAAATACCAAAAATGGCTAGGACAGGACTGGGTTTGGATCAAGAGCCAATACTCAACCTAGACCTACCCTGTGGGTGGCAGGACACCAATTACTCATGCCATCACTGCTTCCCCCAGGGTCTGCATTAGAGGGAAGCGAGAGTCAGGACACAGATCAAACCCAGGCACTTGTGTACATTTTTCCACAAACTTCTTCAAGTTCCCTCATACAATCAGCCAGACGCCCCAAATCGAACAGAACTGGATTCCTAGCTTCTCCTCTCCTTGCCAGTCCTCTAGAAACTGCCCGCTGCCCTCTCACCCCTTGGGCAGACTCTCATCGTATCCTACAGGGATTTCAGCAGTCGCTCTCAAAGGCGCTTAAAGTGGACCCTTCTAACAGATTCTACACATACCCCAAAGTGACTTTTCCAAAACAAATCATTCTTCTGCTTAAAATTATTCAATGCCTTTCCACTCCTTAGGAAGAAGTCCCCACATGTTAGCATACATATGAGGCCACACAGAATTTAGTCCTCTGCAGAGTCCAATGTTCCTACACTATTCAAAATGTTTCTTATTGCCTCTTGCCTGAGGCTCTTTCACCAGAAGAGGGACTGAAGAAGAAACTATTTTGAGCATCCTTCTCTCCATCCATTTATTCCCCTAGTTAAATCTGCTTCTCCTTCTAACCTTGGTTCAGATAATGCCTCTGCCTGAAGGCCCTACCAATGACCAGACCTCAGTATTCGTGAACAGCTCTGTCAAAGCTATCCCTGTGTTGTAATTTCCTGGCTGTCACTATCCCCAGTGCCAATCAATGCCAGGCTACCTGAAGTCCTGTAAGCAATAGATGCCAAACTAATGCACAATTTATAAACGTGGGTGCTCTTCTAGTACTACTTTCCCTTCTATAAGCAGAAATACAAGAGATCTTCAAAACGTTTGAGGACGACACCTCTGATGACAAAGCTGAACATGGATTTCCAAAATTTTCTGACAAAAAAACTTTTAATTTCATTTTCCATGAACATTTTCAAGTTTTTCATATTCATAAGCAATCAGACACTGATCAGTTCTGTCTTTTAAAAAGCTTCATTCTTTTGAGTTTTATTTCTGCACTAAATTAAGTTCTTAACTTTTTAATATAAGACAAAAGTAGTCAAGCAAACTGATGAGAACAGTATTGCTGAATATAGAACACAGGTAGTACTACATTTTAAAATTGCACTTTGTCATCTTTTACTAAAGAAATAATGATCTACCACCTTTGAAAAGAAAGGAGCTTGCTCAGCACATAAAAGTTATGACATATTGCCACACCCAAGGATTCCATGTGGCAGACTTTACTCACAACCAGTCAATCTAGTTTTTAAAAATGTACTTGCTTATTTATTTGAAGAAATACACAGAGATGGACAGAGCCAGAGGGGTTCCAACCACAGACCCACTTTCCAAATGTCCACAATGGCTGAAGCCAGGAGCCAGGAACTCAATTTAGGTCTCCCAGGTGGATGGCAGGAACCCAACCACTGGAGCCATCACCACTGCTTCCTAAGTTCTACTTTGACAAGAAGCTGGAGTCAGGAGCCAGAGTCATTGTAAGCATTTGGAGGGTGAACCAGTGTCTCTATGTGTCGCTCTCCTTGTACCTTTCTCTCTCGCTCGCTCTCTCGCTCTTTCTTCATTCTTAAATAAATAAATATGTATTGTTTTAAATGCAAAGGTTTCCAAAACCTGTCTTTCCTGAGAATTCTTTTGCAACTCATGTTGGGACAAAAGATTTCAGCGACTGCTATTTGTTTTCTCTGAGCTCCGTGCTGGAAAATTTTTATGCAACCGAAGAAACTTTGTCTATACATCTGTGATTTTTTTTTTTTATTTGTCAGGTAGAGTTAGACAGTGAGAGAGAGAGACAGAGAGAAAGGTCTTCCTTCCGTTGGCTCGCTCCCCAAATGGCCACTACAGCCAGCGCTATGCCAGTCTGAAGCCAAAAGCCAGGTGCTTCCTCCTGGTCTCCCATGCGGGTGTAGGGCCCAAGCACTTGGGCTATCCTCCACTGCCCTCCTGGGCCACAGCAGAGAGCTGGACTGGAAGACGAGCAACCAGGACTAGAACCCAGAGCCAATATGGGATGCCGATGCCACAGGCGGAGGATTAACCAAGTGAGCCACAGCGCCAGCCCCACATTTGTGATTTTATCACCAAATTCCATTTTACAGGATGGCTACTTTCACTAACAACCTGATAATACTTCCTAGAATCGAGGATATTCACACATATCTAGCTTGGGAAAATGCATTTTACAGTTGTCAATCCTTCAGTTAGTATTCTTTGTCTTAAATAACATGAATGAGAAAGAATATTAATAGTGTTCAATAAATTCATATTTAAAAGTTATAAGAGATTGTAAGACTGTTGGGATTCTGGATTTATCTAATTTATTAAGAAGTATTTGGAGTTCCTTCTTAGAACTGTTATAGAAATACTATAGTAACAGAAATTATAGATATAAATGTAGATATAGATATTTGAAACACATAATTTTCTCTCTTCTACATGCTGTAAACCATGATGAAGTCAGTGGAATTCTGAAAGAATGCATATCTATATGCCTCTACTAAGTCCTACACTCCTATTCTGTATAAGTCTTAACAATTAAGATATGTTCAGAGGAAAATCATAGAATGTTATTTTCTTCATTTTCACAGAAAATACTGATGAAAGTTAGGAAATTATGAATTAAAGCATTTGGATCACAATACTGCGAAAGTCCTTTTTATGGTCAAACCTTACAGTTGGAACTTCACAGATATTTTTTCCTTTTTAAGTGTTTAAAAGCTCCATTTGTCTTTCAGAGTCCAGTAGTTGCCTAACTTTCCATGAGTGCTAATATGAGTTAAGAGCAGATCCACAGATCCTGAAAGAAGTTTCCTGAAGTATTTTTATTATTTATATTTCATTTGAGAATAGAAGGAAGGTAATACTCCCCATGAGCCAATGAGCAATGGTCCAAGTGTTTAATGGGAAACCCATTAGTTGTTAATATTGGAGAGTCCTAAATTCTAATTTCTGCCTTATCTCTCCCTTATGCTCTTATTATTTAAGCCTGGAACAGAGATTTTAATTGGAAAAAGGCATTCGTGAAACTGTCAAGCAGCAGTAAGCAGGATGGGAGGATGTGCTGAGATTCCCTCGTGCCCTACATTACAATTCCTTTATTATATACCAGGTTGGAATTGAGTGTGAGAATGCAGTTGCATCTCACGTTGGTGCATTTTGATACCGTCAGTGCATTAAAAGACACTGTGGTTTGCCCCATCTGGGGCAGGTTAACAATTCACACAGAAGTTTCCTATTACACATCTTAGGTTGATCACTCTTAGGGGACTCCCTGAGTGCTGGAGTTTTTATAAAAGATCTGAGTCGCCTGGAGTTGAGTGTGAAAGACTTTTCAAAGACCGCTGCCATAGCAGGCCATAGAAAAAGCCCTTTTCAGGAGAAAAGACAATGATAACCATTGCGATTTCACTGTTCTGGCTGGCTCTACTGGGGAAAAAAGTTGATTCTCTAGTCCAGGTACCGTTTCAACAAACGGGTGGTGGTAGTTAATTTGTGCAAGATGACAGTATTGTATAACAGTTTCTGTTTCTCACACAGTGACAAAATTATCATATCAAGGATAAGACACAAAGTCTTCATAGTATTTTGATTTAAAATATCAAAAATGGTGTTTTAACCACAGAAAATTTTCAATTGCAG